GCTGATTTCAATATATCATAACAAAGGTTTCCACTGCATCATTGAACCCCTTACAAAAACATTATATCTGCTATTAATTGTAAATTCATGCTTTTTTCCAAATGACATCTCAATATACAAATAGAACAACAATTAACAATTTTTATTAGCTGGTTAACTAACAAAATGAAGAAACCATCTTAAGATTATCTGTAGTTATGTTTCAATTCTTGAAAAGTACAAACTTTTTACTTCATAATATTTACTTCTGATGTAATTGTGCAACTACATAAATTCTCCACATGCACATTGATGTATATTATAATTGAGGAGGTGCTAATTAGAATGATAAAAATGTGCTTTAAGTTATAGAACGAGCACTGAAACAAAAGGCTATCTGATTGTACGAGGGGGTGTCACAGCCCCCGAGTACAAATCAGATTGCCGAGTGTTTTGGTGTTCTTTCTCTTTTGTATCATAATCAAACATGACAACACGACTTCCCTGTTCTCATAATATGAAACCTCAGAAAAAATTAACTTATTGCTTTAATGATTTTACATTACTGGAGTGTCATTTATAATTTTTTAAATAAAAATACTTTTGATTATTTTGCATTGCTTTTTCATTCCAGATTATAAAACTGTAAGATAAATTTTTTTTCATTCGGGGAGGGGCTTATTAGAGTGGGCATTAAATGGAAACCATATGGAAATTAAAAGTTGAATTCACGGGAGTCACTTTAGTCAAGTCAGTAAGACAAAACTGTTTACAGACAATGGCTCAGAGAAAAAGTAAATATGTAAAAGAAAATGTCTTGCACTCCCAATATATTATCTGTTATTTTTTCACCTCTAAATGCACTCTCTTTTTTTTCTTATGACTTTTAAATTACCTTATGTCTGAGCTTCTTTCATAAATACAGGAGAAATTTCACCTTTTCTGAACTTCACACTACAGGTTATTTGTGAAAATGCTGGTTAAGTAATTACGCTTAAAAATATTTTCTACATGATTACCTTGATTTACTGACACACCTTTTATTGAAGAGCAGATTTAATACAGCAAGCTGTGCTGATTCTCCTTTATTTACGACAAGCATTAAAGCTTATCTCTCATGTTGTAAAATTTTAAATCCTATTCACTGAAAAACAAATACTTCATTTATTTTTTTTCACAGCAGTATTTATAATCACACTTATAATCAAAGGGAAACTTTCAAACACCTACTCAGTTGACTTCAAACATGTAGTTGATTTCAAACACCTAGTCAATTTCAAACATCAAGTCAATTTCAAACACCTAGTCAATTTCAAACACCAAGTCGATTTCAAACACCTAGTCAATTTCAAACACCTAGTCAATTTCAAACACCCTTGATTTCAAAAACCTAGTCAATTTCAAACACCAAGTCAATTTCAAACACCTAGTCAATTTCAAACACCTTGTCACTCCCACACAGGTAATCATTTTTGGTGTGTATGTTTATCAGTTTGAAAGGTATTGAGTGTTTTTAGCCAAAAGTCAATTAGAAAATTAAATATTTACTATCTTATTTAAATATTAAAATATATAATTATATAATATAAATTGTAGAATTTTTTTTCTTTTGTGTAACTAAAATAAAGTAAAACTTCACTTTTAAATGACGATTTTTCCAGAAAGGGTCATTTTTTATCTAAGAAATTATCTTTGGAAACAAACAAAATTGTAGGATTTTTTTTCTTTTGTGTAACTAAAATAAAGTAAATCTTCAGACTTTTAAATGAAGATTTTTCCAGAAAGGGTCATTTTTTATCTAAGAAATTATCTTTGGAAACAAAAATTCCCATGCCCCATAAACTTAGAATTGTAAATGGCAGATTACTGGTGGGTATAATTTTATATATGTCATATTAGTTTATCTTAGATTTGTGAAGGTGTTGCTTTAAAATATTGAAAATAAACTCTTCTAGAAAATGTATGTTCTAAAACAACTTCTTCAAATATAGTATTTCCCAGGTAACATTAATTACTTCTTTAATAAAGGTCAACAATTTACGATTCATTTTTGTCATAAGTGATCTCAGATTTGTGAGCAGGATTACTTCAACTTATCAAAGGAATATCAGCACTTAAATTATTAGAAAATTCAAGATAAAGCCTTACATAATTAGATTTTTTAATAAAATTAACACATAATTGGATTCACAAGAAAAACAACACAGAATAATGGATACGAAATAATACCAAAGGATATTCACATTTTAATCATCACCAATCAATTTAGCAATATTCAAGAACACATTCTTATGAAAATAATGGACTTAGAAAATAAAAATAAAACACATCCAAGAGCAGCCGAGCTGGATAATAAAACTAATGAGGAATTATCATATGAGGAAAGTTTGTTCATTGAATATACACCAAATCATGTTAAAGTTTTGTTTGTATGTGTGTGTATAACATCACTGTTCTGCAGCTGTGTTTCTCTGACAGTGTTAAAGCGGACAAGAAGAATTCCACATGCTGCAAAGTTCCTGTCTGCTGGACTTCTGTGCTTTGATTCATTGTATATGACAGTTATTACAATTAGAAAATTTATACAAGAACCTCTTTTGAACACAACTCTCCAAGTGCTGTCCACTACATTGTTACAACTTGGTTATGTTACCGTAACATTTATGTCCGTCGAGCGCTTTTTTATGTTCTTTAAACCGATGAAGTACATCGCAAAATGTACACCGTCGTATCTCAGATTGTCTACTATAACAATTTGGGTTGCTACGGTAACAGTTTTTCAAATTGTAAGGTATGGAGCATGTTACGTGAAGTTTGAATCTCGCAAAGTTTTTAATCAAGCAGGACTTTGCAACAGAATTGTGACAGTCTACTACTTAACATTGGTCGTGTTATCACTAAGTATATCTATGTTGTGTTACTGGAGCATATTCAACATGGTGAAACGGCAGTTGGCATATTATGAAAGAAAGAAAGTTTCATTTACAATGATGGCTTCATTCTTACGAAGCTACAAGTCCACCACTCTAGTTCTTGTATACATACTTGTCATCTTTGTTACATCATTTGTATATGCAATCATCATATTGTATATAAGGTACATGAACCTTGACGTGAGGAGTATACGTACATCTCTAGAAGTTGTGTCCGCTATCAACTGTTTTATAAACCCATTTCTATATGTTATGTGGTTCAAAGAGAGTCAAATGGAAGCTTTCAAGCTGTTTTCATGCTTCAACAAGAACTTCAAGACTAAAGCTGAAGCAATGAAGTATGAAATATTTGACATAGTGACATCTTACCAGCATGTGACATCTACTGTTTGAATCATTAGCAACACACTAGCTGTAGTTAAGAAAGCGCTCTTCTTAACAGTTTAAATTTCATTTTAATATTTCAAATAGAGGGATGCACTTCTGTGCACAAGGCCACCACATTTTATTCTGAAAGGATTTCAACCAATTATTATTGGTACATGTAGCACACATGGTTATGTGACAATGCCCTTCACTTGTTGATTCTTTACTGTAATTTCATCATGCTACATGTTTCTTTTAATAAATAAATTACTTAATATGAGAAAACTGAATTTTGAATATTTATCTTTTGTTGTACGATTGTGGCTTATGTGCAATGAGTACCTTCTATAAGCAGTTTTTTTTTGCACAAACACTGAAACTTAGATAATATTAAGTGTTTATTGTGGCGGCGAGGGCAAATGTTTTAAACGCATCAGACTAGTAATCTAAGGATTGCTGACCGTGTGGATTCAAACCCAGTCAGGGGCAAGTCGTTGTTTCTGTGAGCAAAAAATTATACACTTATTGCTTAGTACAGTTGTTGGTTCCAGGAATGGATTTGAGAGTGTTTGAATGAGCTTATAGCTTGAACCAACTAAAGTGTTTATTTCCGAGCAACATACCTAAAGTCTTTTGGATCTAAAATTGATTTTGCAAATGATTTTTTTATGTCAATGCAAGATTGCTGGAATGCCTCAGCTCTTATACAATAACTTTAAAACAAGTTCCATCAACATAATTATACTAGAAAAAAACATAGATAACATGTGATAGTTTGAAAGTTAATTTTTAACTGCATGAAAAACAACAACAAGTCACAAGAACTACATTTAAATGACTGCCATGAAAACCCCACATGCACATTGGTCAATGGATTTATCTTTTGGAGGGATTTGGCTTAATGAAATCACTTTATCTAACATTCATTAGCTTCATTTTTTGAATTGACTTTCAAACTTCAATTTTGAAACAGTCCATTGCCAATTTTTAGGATATCATGTGAAAAATAAGGATTTTGGGCAGCTAAAATTATAGAGCTTGATCGGAAGCAAGAATGGTAGAAAAACTTTGCAGTTCAAATACCAGCATAAAAAATACCAGCATAAAATTAGTAAACTTAACATTTATCTGCCTAAAGAATGTAATGAAATTATGTGTCCATATCCCAAGAAAAAGATCATATTCAGGATCATATTAAAATGAAACAGAAAGTAGGGTGACATATTTACTGACCTACATAAATATCTACTTCTTTAAGCATAATAACAGAACTTACACTTTATTCTATTTTGGTCCATTAAACATAAAACAAGCAAATTCGTTGAATTTATATCCCCCGCTGAGTACTGGTTATTATTAACACAACAACTGAAGACATAAGGCTTTATTTATATATTAATCATGGCATAAACAGTAATATTCTTTGAACTTGATAAATATTCAGGGAAATAACAGAGCCATAACTTTGTGTTAAATAGTAAAATCTGGAAATGCCAATGAGATGTATGCATACTACATAACTAATCAAGGGCCATAAATCTGAGTTATAAGTATCTGACTGGAACAAGGCGACTATATGCACATCTCCTCTTAGTATCCCATAAAGTTTCATTGAATTCCAGCCGGTGGTAGCAGAGAAGTAGCGAGGAAACAAATATTTTTCTATATGGATACTGCATAACTAATCAAGGGCCATAACTCTGAGTTAAAGTGTCTGACCGGAACAAGCCAATGATATGCACATCTCCTCTTGGTATTGAAGGTTCCCATAAAGTTTTGTTGAATTCTAGCCAGTAGTTGCAGAGAAGTAGTGTGGAAACGATTTTTACTCTATATGCATACTACATAACTAATCAAGGGCTATAACTCTGAGTTAAAGGGTCTGACCGGAACAAGCCGACGATATGCCCATCTCCTCTTGATATTGATGATTCCCATAAAGTTTCATTGAATTCCAGCCCGTAGTTGCAGAGAACTACTCCGGAAATGATTTTTACTCCATATGCATATTGCAGAACTAATCAAGGGCCATAACTCTGAGTTAAAGTGTCTGACCCTAACAAGCCGACGACATGCCCATCTCCTCTTGTTATTGAAGGTTCCCATAAAGTTTTGTTGAATTCCAGCCAGTAGTTGCAGAGAAGTAGCGCGGAAACGATTTTTACTCTATATGCATACTACATAACTAATCAAGGGCAATAACTCTGAGTTAAAGTGTCTGACCTGAACAAGCCGACGATATGTGCATCTCCTCTTGATATTGATGATTCCCATAAAGTTTCGTTGAATTCCAGCCAGTAGTTGCAGAGAACTACTCCGGAAACGAAATTCGGACGGACAGACGGACGGATGGACGGACAGACGAACGGACGGTCAGATGCGCATCTCCTCTTGATATTGATGATTCCCATAAAGTTGTTGAATTCCAGCCAGTAGTTGCAGAGAACTACTCCGGAAACGAAATTCGGACGGGTGGACAGACATACTTAGCAGACGTGTTTGTGGGGTTATTCCTTTGATCTCTTAACCCCACAAGAGCAAATTTTTTTAACCCCATAAGAGCATTTTTAACCACATAATACATGTCTCTACGGAATGAACCCCATACAGAGTGCCTGTACATAAACCTAAACCTCATAATGTAGCTCTCGTCTGCTCGGACGGACAACGCCAAAACTATATCCCCCTCCCGATTCCATCGGCGGGGGATAACAAAATTTTCTTTTGAAATATTGGATGCCATCTTGTATTTGCTTCAGAATTTACAGAACATTACACATGAAAAGACATTTTATTGACAAACTCAGAAAAACTTTAATAACCATCAAGCCTAGTTAATTTTTATCAGTTTCATATTTATGGATAAAACATTCTCTCAAAGCTGTATTTATCTAGTCTTATATTTTTTATGTCATTATGAATAACATTAATTATACTTAACAGAATTTCTAATGCTATCTTTAGTGAGAACTTAAAATTAAAAGCCTAGTTTATTTTCTGTCTGCAAATATACAAGTTTTTTTTTCCTTGATTTTTTTGTTTTTTTCTTTGGTAAGGTGTTATGTCACACCAACACTATATAGGTTATAGGCATTTAAACTGGTAGAGTAAGAGCTCAGGTGCTCTTCTGTCCATTATTTCAGGCATATGAGTAGAACTGTCCACTCTGTAAGCATGCTTCTTTGTAGTCTCAGTTATTGTATGGCATGATTTAATTTCAAATGCAATAATATAAGTGTTAAAGGGACTCCACTGCGTTTTTTTGAAATGACAGACCTGGAAATAATTTTCTGAGATTTGTTTATATTCTGATGAAGGTCCAGACAAATAACTCATGTAAAAATTTTCAGATCATTCTCTCACCCAGTTTTTCCAGAATAATCTTTTTATGTTGAGCAAAATGACGCAAAAAATGAACAGCGTTGCAATTCAAAAAGTCAAACACAAAATCAATATACAATTTAATTCAGAGTTAATTTTTTCAATGTCCTTTTCAGATTTTTTTCAGTAAAGTACTTTACTTGATTTATGTAAGAATTTCTAATTTTATGTTTTAGGCTTTTTGACCTCTGAGTGGAGTGAGTCCCTTCAATAAAGAAAAACATCTCACCATCTGAGTAACTGTCTGTATAAAACTGTGACACTTTTGTAAATGCAGAATTTAACTTGAACAGATCAGCATCTATCTTCTCTAACCTCATTTTGTCATCGCCATGGAAACTGAAATTTGTTTTTTTTTTCAAAATTATCAAAATAAATTTTGTGACTTTTTTATGTACATGCATGCTGGTACTGCACATAATTCAGAAAACAAACAAAAACAAATTATTTTTTTAACACTATAAGAACATTTTGCATTTGAAAACAAATTAAAACAAATACAAACAAGCAAATTCGTTGAATTTATATCCCCCGCCGAATACTGGTTATTATTAACACAACAACTGAAGACATAAGGCTTTATTTATATATTAATCATGGCATAAACAGTAATATTCTTTGCACTTGATAAATATTCAGGGCAATAACAGAGCCATAACTTTGTGTTAAATAGTAAAATCTGGAAATGCCAATGAGATGTATGCATACTACATAACTAATCAAGGGCCATAAATCTGAGTTATAAGTATCTGACTGGAACAAGGCGACTATATGCACATCTCCTCTTAGTATCCCATAAAGTTTCATTGAATTCCAGCCAGTAGTAGCAGAGAAGTAGCGAGGAAACACATATTTTTCTATATGGATACTGCATAACTAATCAAGGGCCATAAATCTGAGTTGAAGTGTCTGACCGGAACAAGCTGACAATATGCGCATCTCCTCTTGGTATTGAAGGTTCCCATAAAGTTTCATTGAATTCCAGCCAGTAGTTGCAGAATAGTAGCGCGGAAACGATTTTTACTCTATATGCATACTGCATAACTAATCAAGGGCCATAACTCTGAGTTAAAGTGTCGGACCGGAACAAGCTGACGATATGCACATCTCCTCTTGGTATTGAAGGTTCCCATCAAGTTTCGTTGAATTCCAGCCAGTAGTTGCAGAGAAGTAGTGCGGAAATGATTTTTACTCTATATGCATACTACATAACTCATCAAGGGCCATAACTCTGAGTTTAAGGGTCTGACCGGAAAAAGCTGACGATATGCCCATCTCCTCTTGATATTGATGATTCCCATAAAGTTTCGTTGAATTCCAGCCAGTAGTTGCAGAGAACTACTCCGGAAACGATTTTTACTCCATATGCATATTGCATAACTAATCAATGGCCATAACTCTGAGTTAAAGTGTCTGACCGGAACAAGCCAACGATATGCGCATCTCCTCTTGGAATTGATGATTCCCATAAAGTTTCGTTGAATTCCAGCCAGTAGTTGCAGAGAACTACTCCGGAAACGATTTTTACTCTATATGCATACTACATAACTAATCAAGGGCCATAACTCAGAGTTAAAGGGTCGGACCGGAACAAGCCGACGATATGCACATCTCCTCTTGATATTGATGATTCCCATAAAGTTTCG